CAACCCCCTGTTCCAGCCTAGATAAGGGTCAAGACAAGTAGATGGGACCATCTTACTTACTTTTCTTGCCCTGAGGGAGGCCAGTCCTGGGCCTGGGGAGGCTAAAGCAGCTAGGGCTGAGGGGAGAGGTCCTGACAGGGGTGGGAGTGGGGGGATTGTAGCAGTAGAAGCCCATACCACCAATGTTCACCCCTGTAGAGAGGAAAGACCAGGACAAGCTTGAATCTCCGTCTCCTGGTCAGAGGGAGGGCTCTCCTGTCCCCTGGCCACCTCCTGAGCTGGCACTTACCCCTGGGTCCGAAGAGAACCCCATAGCATGGCTTGTGGCAATACGGCCTCCCATTGTGCTAGGCACAAGAAGAGGGAAGGGGGTTGCTCAGGGCCAAGGGGCTTCTGTGCCCCACAAACCTATCCCTAAGATAAATTGCCAGGTATGTCTGTCCATGGACCCTGTCTGGTGAGGCTGGGAGAGGTGGGGGTGGGATAGCACCCTCAAATTGCTACTGCTGTCAGGGAGAAAGGGCAAGAGCAGGTGAGGAAAGGGTGCTGCTTCCCTCTCTTTCCTCCACCCCCTAGAATAATTCATGCTCCCCACATCCTGGCCGGTGTGGAACACACCAGGTAAGGGGTCTTGGGAGCTGACTCCTGAGGCTCTCCAGGGTGGAAGCTGGGGTCTGCTGCCTGGGCATCAGTGACAGGCACAGGGTGGCAGAGCCTCACCTCTGCATGCCCCCCGGGGGACAGGACGCTGTGGCAGCGCTCACATTTCAGGCAGAAGGGGTGCCAGTTCTTGCCCAGGGAGCTCACCTTCTCTGCTGTGGGGGGCGAGGAGGAACCAAGCTGCAGGGAGTCGGCCAAGCAATGCCAATCCAATCGTACTTCCCCCCTCAGTGCCTCCTGTACTGCTCCCCAGAGAAGACGGGGAGAGTCCCCCAAAGGACAACCCCTGTCCACCTGAATGCCACTCGCCTGGTGGAAACGGGGTCTGGGGCACACCTTCACCAGCCACTCACATCCTCGTGGAACCCAGCGTTTCATACTCACCCCACCGGCTACCCTCCCTAGCCCGGCCTCACCAAAGAAAACGGGTTGCTGGCATCCCGGGCAGGTCCAACTCATGGCTCCCTGGGGCAGCCAGCGCCGCCGCCGCACACAGTAGGTATCGCCGTCCCTGCCTGCCGGCTCCGCCTAAGCTCAGTTTTCGGCCTCATTGGGCAGAATTCTCCGTTCCTCGTGGCCATTGGCCACACAAGTTTACAACCACCGCGCCTCTAGGGGGCCCCGTGGACCCGGCAGTTAGCCAGCCTTCCTTCCCTGGGGAGGAGAGAGCTCTGCCGCCCGCCCGGGAGGGGAGGGTGCAGTGAGGATGCCTGGGAGGGTGGCACTGGTTTCTGGTTTGGAAAGAAACCGGGAGAGAGGAAATTGCTACCAAAGAGAGGGGGCAGGCACTCTGAAATTGTTTCAGTATGTGGAGCCCATTTCTCTTATCTTTGGCTACTAGCGATTACTTAACATTGGTTTGCCTCCTTTTTCTTATCTGTACACTAAGTATGACGATAATTCTCATGATTGTTGTGAGAATTAGATGTTAACGTGTGTATTAAGTGCCCAAACAGAACCTGGTACAAAGATACTGTTAAAAGCAGAAGCTATCACAATGATGGGTCGCATCAGGATCGCCAGACTCTTAGTCTGGAAGTCTCAAAACCTGGTCTGCATACAGTGGTTTGCTTGCAAAATAACAAGGCTTACTCATTTTTTAAAAAAGATTTATTTCGTTATGCATACAGAACTGGGGTACCAGCCAGAGGTACAGAGACAGTGGGAGGATTCACCAGAGACAGAGTGGAGAGCAGAACAGGCAGAATGACAAAGTACACTGCTGAGGGGAGCAGCTGTCTGCTGCTCCATGTGGGTCAGCTCCCTGGCTGGAGATTGAACTCAAGCTGAAGCGGCTGTGACTAACTTCATAGTGCTGTGCTTTAACTTGTTGCACCACCAGGGAGGGTCCTAGCTTACTCAATTTTAAAATATAATTTAGACACCAATTAAATATTCCCAAGTTAAAGATGTTTTAGTATTTGCTAAAAGTAGTTCAAAAGTGCTTCAAAGGACACTTCAAGAAATTTAAATGCACACGATGGGCGAAAATACTTGCAAATTTATCTGATAAAGGTCTAGTAACCAGAATCAGTAAAGGACTCCTATGGGCCTTCCCTGGTGGTACAAGGTGTGAAAGCACAGCACTATTAAGCTGTTTATAGCCACTGCAGCTCGAATTCAATCCCCCACCAGGGAGGGGACCCACATAGCATGGCAGACTTCTCCTGTCTCACCTGCTGCTCCCCTCAGCAGTGTATTTC